CGCCATTTGTGTGGGTTTACAAGATGATTTCTTGTTCAACTGCAAGTCAGGATATGACCATGATTACACCACAAGTGGCCACGAAAACATGATGAGCATAGACATGGACTTTGCCGATGACATCGGCTCGAATACAAGTTTTGAGGAAAACTCCTACACAACACAGTCGGAAAATAGAAATTCAATTGATTCAATTGAATTACATGAAAATTGTTGTACTGCTTATGGTGGTGTTAACTATCAGCTTAATAGTGAACTAACTACAGTTGCTAATGACAATGTGGATGACGACGATGGTGTTGATGTTAAGCATGTCTTCGATAATGATGAATTTATCATAGTGCCACATGTGCCTCAGAAACTTATAACATCCCATTGCGATCTACACTCTGGCTTAATGTTACTAACACATCCGGATAATGAGTTGTTAACTACATCACAGACTTCAGACTCTTGTAATAGTTCACCGGCTGCTTCATCAGTTACAGCCAATGCCAGCAACTCCTCGGGAGATTCTAATTATATTTCTGCTAACAATACTGCCATAGCCACCGTCACTAACTCCTCTTTGGCAACTTCTTGCTATCGAGATGACATGCTGAACTTTCAGTGTTTTATGCAAAAATGCGCACATTAGTTATGAGCATAATACAAGACATTTTGGTTTACTTTTTTTTCTATTTCTGATTTTCTTTTTCGTACGCTTAAGGACATTTTTCACCAAGAAGCTATTTATAAGAGAAAATTCAAAACAAAACAAAAATATATATGTATGTCATATCATCGTAGTTGTTTAACAATAAGAAGCACCAACAATTTAATATAAAATATAAATTTATTCGAAAATGTTGTGGAACATCACAGTGGTTGTGGGTTAAGTTCGTACAAAAGTGATAAAAGCAATCAGTTGAGAAAAATTAAGACTCGACCAGCTAACGCACTTTTCCATCTTATTGATCTTAATTGTGATTTCAGGCTTGTTGGTTTTTCCAACGAATTCTGGAAATATTGAACTATTTCCTCAAACACATAAATGCTTTTCAATTGTTAAAGTTAATAAAAAATTTAATATTATTCTATCTTACGTAAATAAAATGCCACATCTAATAAACTCCACAAAAAAAATTTTCATTATATTTTAAATTATGCAAACAAACGCATACCAGACAACAAGCAAAAAATCAATCAAAAATAATAATAATAAAAAATATCCTTTGACATACAAGCGAGCACATCATATACAAAAACAAAATTCAATTAAATTTTCTTTAAACATTTTTACGCGAAACTGAACACAACCACTGTGCTGCTGCAATAAAAAAAGGAAAAAAATATTACAAACTAAATAAATGGTTTCTCTCTTTAAAAAAATGCTATAATAAAAAAATATTAATGCAACTACTATTTTATCTTAAAAGAAAAGCAACTTAAATCAATAAACCAAACTAAAAATTCTTTTTACAGAATAAAATGCAAAAATTTAAAAAACCAAAACTAAAACATTGTTTAACTTTTAGCTAAAGAGCTGACGAAAATGTATATTATTTTAAAATTGAAGTTTTTACTTTTATTTTATTTTTTACCTAAAATCAGCATTAAACATTTCGATTAAATTTGCGATTTAAATTATCATGTATTTAAGAAAATGGTGCTTTTAAATTTGTTTTATCAAAGAACACACTAAAGTAATGGACGAGTCTTCAGTTAATTGGTTCTCGTGATAAGTCCAAAATTAATTATGTTTTGAGACTCATTTTTAAAAGATTGAATTAAATTTTTTAACTGAGATCAAGATTTTCAATCGCTGGTAGGGAACAGTTAGTGTACTGTGTAAGCATCGATTGAGAGGTATTCCTACATAAGTTTCTTAATACGGCATTTCTTTCAGACACTCTACTGAACACCCTTCCAAGTATTACATTGCTGGGCCGGTTAGCTTTTATGTTCTTTCTGTTTTCTCGATTCACAAGGGAAGATCGAGATTTGGTCTCAATATGGTTCTATACAAATTCTAAGGCAATGACCGGCGGAATATTGAGAGTACATTTTCTGAGAAACACTTCTAATAAACCTTGCCCAGATATGTGCTCCCTATAGTTAATGTTTAGCACTTGGCTACATATATGAATTTCTTGATACTCTGATAATAGTGTCGCATCTGGTGTGTTTTGGTATAATTATCATTTCTTTAGCTTGCATTTATTAGTGATCTGTTGCTGTCTTCGTAAAACGTGCAACATGAAAAAATATAAACATATACGAACACCACTGATAAAAGACCAAAAGAGAAAAAGACCCGTATCTACCAGTTTTGCCCAAAGTCATGCCCTTTTTTATGAGCCCCAAAGATGAAGAGCCTTGGTAATATTTTAGAAAAAAAGTGATAAATTTCCAAACGTTGGGAATTTTGATTTACGATCTGAGGCAAAGTTTTATCTAAAAAATTGTGAACATATAAAATCAAAATGCTCAAAAAAAATTCGAATTTCTACCTGTTAAAAAAATATTTAAAATGCTTCCCTAAATAGGGCGTATACTTAATATTTGTGATATCAATAAATCATTGACACGTATACGTGCAGGTATCATTAAGAAAGGCAGTGCAATTCCACAATGTAAAACTTTCCACTTGAAATGAAAATGAAGGTTTTTGCTTTTATGTTCTTCATGACAAGAGCTACAATTTTGCCTCAGAAAGCAAATCAAACTTCCAAAAGGTTTGCGAGATATGAGCCTGAGGGCAATTCTTTGATGGCCCATAAAAGGTGCATGATGCATGATGCATGAAAACTATGAGATACTTTAAAAAATTCGAATTTTTAAATGTTATAAAAAATCTTCTCAAAATAAAGCGTATACGTAATATTTGTAATGTCAATAAAATATTAACACGTATACGTACAGGTGTCGTCAATAAAAGTAGTTCAATTTTAAAACTATGAGATACGAGTCTTTTTTGTTGGTCTTTTATCACATGGTGGTGGCCATGACCCCAAAAAATAATCAATGTCAATTATAGAGGGAAGGAAGCTGACTATAGAACAGCCATGTCCTGATTCTAATCGTAAAGGGTTCAACGTGGCAATGTACCTGCCTTTTAGACAATTTATGATCGATATCTGAACTATACTCAGGAGTCACTTTCTAACTAACATATTTAGTCAAATAGAAAGTAATGTTCAGAATTCATTGACCTCATCTTTTCTCTTAAGAAAGAAGACACCTGTAAATAATTACATGTATTTCCAGAAGAAACTCTAATTGTTATGCATGCTTTAAGCCTTACCAATTAGTAGTCATCCGACTACTAGTTTTTAGGGGGGGGGGGGGTGGTATGGGTGTTGGTGTATATTCTTGAATACCTTATTAAATGTTCTCAAGGATCGATATATTTATCTCTCAATCATGGATTTAATCGCTCTGATTCCACGCAGACTTATGCCTTCTCAAGGGAATATACAATAATAGTAGTTGCAGCAGCATGAGGAGAGAATACAAATTTCTCAATCTTGTTCTACCCGGGCACCAGTTTCATTTTCGACGGTGATACACCTAATCCAAATTATTAACATATTTTGCAATGTTTTAAGCTTGAGTTCCATATTAGATCCAACGTGCCAAATCCCTAGCAAATCTTATATAAATCAACCGTACCCGGAAATATGATGAGTTTTATAATATTTAGACATACATATGTACATATTTCACCATGATAATTTAAATCCAAAATTTAAATATAACATTAAAAACAACAATAACAAATGTCTTTAATGTTCTAAAAAAAAAAACAAAAAACTTTGAATTGATTCCCTATTTATTGTTTAATCACACTCCATGAGCATTATATATTGATTTTTGTACGATGTCTTTAGATTATGTTTACATTTCCGCCCTAAATTTTATTTATAAGATTCATTCAAAAAATTTTGCATAACAATTGTTTTACTTGAGCAATTTGTGTTGATGTCCTTTCCGGTGTTTCATTGCGTGAGTTTTCTTTCCTTTCGTTTTTGTCTCATTTCCCTCCGCCCCCATTTGTTTTGTTCTAATTTTTGTTTCAATCTTTTCTGCCGTTTCAACATCTATCTGTGTGTTAGTGTAATTTTCTTATTTCTTAATTTTTCTTTCGATTTCCTTTTAATACAAACATTGGTTTAATTTTTTTTCTCCGTCTTATTTTACTGTCATTATTTGTAAGATTGTTTTTCTTTATTCAATCTATTTTTTTCTACTACTTGTAAGTTTTTCCTCTTGAATTTATTTAAAAGAATTTTTATTTCGATTACTCATGTTTGGCTGTTTCTTTAACAATTTGACATTGTGCCTGACACGCCCGACTTCATTTGCAATACTGTTGGGGAAGGACAGGGTTTTGCTAAAAAATCTTAAAAAAAATATTTTAAAATTGGAATTAAATTATTTTATTTAATGGTTTTTTGAGCTTCTTCATTTTTATTTTGTTTTTGTTACTTTTTGCTGTCATTCATTCTTTGACAATTTCCAGTAGACCCAAGACTTGCAAAAAAAAAAAAAGAAACACAAATGATGAATTGATGTGTCTTGAGTTTTACTTTCCAAGAAAATGTATAAATAAAGTTCAAAGGAACTAAAAATTGGTTGGTTTAAATAAAATATTTCATGCACACATACATACACTTATTTATTAACCAAAAAATTTTGTTATTTTTGATTTAATTTACTACCTCTAGGGCCCAGTTTTTTAAGAAGAAGAATTAGGTTTGTATAATGTTAAAGTTTTAAAGTTTAGTGTCTCCCAAAAATTTCTCTGATCGTCAAAAAATTGAAGTGCAGAAAAACTGGCCTCTACTTTATATGAAACCAAAAATCTACTATTCTAAAATAAAATTGGCTATAAATTTTACTTTAACTTAATATTTTAAAAATTCCTTCTTTTTTACACACACTACTACAAAAAAACTTCTTGTCTAGTCCTTCAACTAATTTAATATATTCTGTTTTGTGATTTAATATATTTACAGGAACACATACGCCAGTCTAAAGAATCTAAATTAGATGAAATGGGTCGTAATTCAAAAGCACGTTCTCGTGACAACATATCGATTGTATCACCTAGGTAAGTGATTTAAATTTGCTTTTTCATTAAACCTTTATTGAAATGAAAAACAAAGTTAAAACCCATTTGAAAACATTATCACCATTAAACAACTATTTTATACAATGGTATTCGTATGTACAACTACAATTGAAATTAATTTCTATTACTTACTTTAACATTTGATATCTCTGTGTATCCCCTCTGCATTTTAGACAAAAACATTCACAAACATCATTACAAATACTCGATGATGTTTCGAGTCGTTATTATCGTGAAATGGAACTGCAAACAAAGAGTAATTTTAAGGAAAAGGATCCAAGTATTTTGCGACATGACATGATTGTACAGACAAGCTTATGCAGTACGGATGATTCGTCAACAACGATAACGGAACAACAGCAGCAGCAGCCAACACCGCCAGCTGGTGTTGGCAGTAGTGCCTGTGATATGGGCTGTCAGACAAGGTGAGTTAGGTTGATTGTTTGTTGCTGGTGGCGATGTTAGTGATTTTAGTTTGATTTTTGTAAACATGTTGCACTGATTGTCAGTCAGTTAGTGATTCAGTAGTGTCAGTGAGCAAAAGAACAATTGTTATACATAATAAATACATGCTGCAGTTGCTTGTTGTAAAATTTTATGTAAAACTACTTACAGTTGAAAGCAATCATTGACAATGATTGCAGTGATTTTTGTTGTTTTTCTTTAATGTTAGACAATAGTAATGATAGTAATGTGGTAGTTTTTGAAATAAAATGTAATGGCGTTGAAATAAAGAAGTAAAGAAAAAGTTTAAAAACAATTAAAATTTTACTTTCTAATTTCCCATATTGAGTTGCGAATTGTCTCACCCTATCTCAAATAAAATGCTAAAACGTTCTAATTCAGTTCCGGTTCAGTTCTAGTTCAGTTCTAGTTCAGTTCTAGTTCAGTTCTAGTTCAGTTCCAGTTCAGTTCTAGTTCAGTTCTAGTTCAGTTCTAGTTCAGTTCTAGTTCAGTTCTAGTTCAGTTCTAGTTCAGTTCTAGTTCAGTTCTAGTTCAGTTCTAGTTCAGTTCTAGTTCAGTTCTAGTTCAGTTCTAGTTCAGTTCTAGTTCAGTTCTAGTTCAGTTCTAGTTCAGTTCTAGTTCAGTTCTAGTTCAGCTCTAGTTCAGTTCTAGTTCAGTTCTAGTTCAGTTCTAGTTCAGTTCTAGTTCAGTTCTAGTTCAGTTCTAGTTCAGTTCTAGTTCAGTTCCAGTTCAGTTCTAGTTCAGTTCTAGTTCAGTTCTAGTTCAGTTCTAGTTCAGTTCTAGTTCAGTTCTAGTTCAGTTCTAGTTCAGTTCTAGTTCAGTTCTAGTTCAGTTCTAGTTCAGTTCTAGTTCAGTTCTAGTTCAGTTCTAGTTCAGTTCTAGTTCAGTTCTAGTTCAGTTCTAGTTCAGTTCTAGTTCAGTTCTAGTTCAGTTCTAGTTCAGTTCTAGTTCAGTTCTAGTTCAGTTCTAGTTCAGTTCTAGTTCAGTTCTAGTTCAGTTCTAGTTCAGTTCTAGTTCAGTTCTAGTTCAGTTCTAGTTCAGTTCTAGTTCAGTTCTAGTTCAGTTCTAGTTCAGTTCTAGTTCAGTTCTAGTTCAGTTCTAGTTCAGTTCTAGTTCAGTTCTAGTTCAGTTCTAGTTCAGTTCTAGTTCAGTTCTAGTTCAGTTCTAGTTCAGTTCTAGTTCAGTTCTAGTTCAGTTCTAGTTCAGTTCTAGTTCAGTTCTAGTTCAGTTCTAGTTCAGTTCTAGTTCAGTTCTAGTTCAGTTCTAGTTCAGTTCTAGTTCAGTTCAGTTCTAGTTCAGTTCTAGTTCAGTTAGTTCAGTTCTAGTTCAGTTCTAGTTCAGTTCTAGTTCAGTTCTAGGTCAGTTCTAGTTCAGTTCTAGTTCAGTTCTAGTTCAGTTCTAGTTCAGTTCTAGTTCAGTTCTAGTTCAGTTCTAGTTCAGTTCTAGTTCAGTTCTAGTTCAGTTCTAGTTCAGTTCTAGTTCAGTTCTAGTTCAGTTCTAGTTCAGTTCTAGTTCAGTTATCAGTTCTAGTTCAGTTCTAGTTCAGTTCTAGTTCAGTTCTAGTTCAGTTCTAGTTCAGTTCTAGTCAGTTCTAGTTCAGTTCTAGTTCAGTTCTAGTTCAGTTCTAGTTCAGTTCTAGTTCAGTCTAGTCAGTTCTAGTTCAGTTCTAGTTCAGTTCTAGTTCAGTTCTAGTTCAGTTCTAGTTCAGTTCTAGTTCAGTTCTAGTCTAGTTCAGTTCTAGTTCAGTTCTAGTTCAGTTCTAGTTCAGTTCTAGTTCAGTTCTAGTTCAGTTCTAGTTCAGTTCTAGTTCAGTTCTAGTTCAGTTCTAGTTCAGTTCTAGTTCAGTTCTAGTTCAGTTCTAGTTCAGTTCTAGTTCAGTTCTAGTTCAGTTCTAGTTCAGTTCTAGTTCAGTTCTAGTTCAGTTCTAGTTCAGTTCTAGTTCAGTTCTAGTTCAGTTCTAGTTCAGTTCTAGTTCAGTTCTAGTTCAGTTCTAGTTCAGTTCTAGTTCAGTTCTAGTTCAGTTCTAGTTCAGTTCTAGTTCAGTTCTAGTTCAGTTCTAGTTCAGTTCTAGTTCAGTTCTAGTTCAGTTCTAGTTCAGTTCTAGTTCAGTTCTAGTTCAGTTCTAGTTCAGTTCTAGTTCAGTTCTAGTTCAGTTCTAGTTCAGTTCTAGTTCAGTTCTAGTTCAGTTCTAGTTCAGTTCTAGTTCAGTTCTAGTTCAGTTCTAGTTCAGTTAGTTCAGTTCTAGTTCAGTTCTAGTTCAGTTCTAGTTCAGTTCTAGTTCAGTTCTAGTTCAGTTCTAGTTCAGTTCTAGTTCAGTTCTAGTTCAGTTCTAGTTCAGTTCTAGTTCCGTTCTAGTTCATTAGTTCAGTCTAGTTCAGTTCTAGTTCAGTTTTAGTTCAGTTCTAGTTCAGTTCTAGTTCAGTTCTAGTCAGTTCTAGTTCAGTTCTAGTTCAGTTCTAGTTCAGTTCTAGTTCAGTTCTAGTTCAGTTCTAGTTCAGTTCTAGTTCAGTTCTAGTTCAGTTCTAGTTCAGTTCTAGTTCAGTTCTAGTCAGTTCTAGTTCAGTTCTAGTTCAGTTCTAGTTCAGTTCTAGTTTCAGTTCTAGTTCAGTTCTAGTTCAGTTCTAGTTCAGTTCTAGTTCAGTTCTAGTTCAGTTCTAGTTCAGGTTTCTAGTTCCAGTTCTAGTTCAGTTCTAGTTCAGTTCTAGTTCAGGTTCTAGTTCAGTTCTAGTTCAGTTCTAGTTCAGTTCTAGTCAGTTCTCGTTCAGTTCTAGTTCAGTTCTAGTTCAGTTCTAGTTCAGTTCTAGTTCAGTTCTAGTTCAGTTCTAGTTCAGTTCTAGTTCAGTTCTAGTTCAGTTCTAGTTCAGTTCTAGTTCAATTCTAGTTCAGTTCTAATTCAGTTCTAGTTCGGTTTAAAGTGATCTCTTACAACGAATATTAACGAGTCTTCGAAATATTATCTTCTTAAACTTCTACGCAAACAAGAAACAGCTCGTTAAAACTCTATTTTAAGAATTTAATGCTCATTTTAAATCTACGTATAAAAACAATTAATTCCATGTTTTATGAAGTTATCTAATGCAAATTTCATTACTTTCTTTTTCATGCAGAGAATCTCTATTTGCTACAGCTTCATTAATGCGTCAAAAATCTAAAACACCCTCTATAGCTGGCAGTCAGCGAACTATAGAGGGTGTACCTCCGCCTCCACGTTTTTCGACCTTTGGATATGATGCTGCACAAATAGCACCACCGCCACCACCCACCGTATCGACATTGTCAAGGCGTAATATGCACCTGCCACAAGAGTCTCTAGAAATGGAACAATTACCACAGCAAACAACGCACACAATGATGATGATGCCAACACCACATCAACAACAACATCAACAGCAACATCAGCATTTACATCATAGACCCTCACAGGAAATCTGTCATCATCACCAGCATCAGCAACATTTACAACAGCAACAACAAAAGCAAACACTGCCACGTCATCATCAACAACAACAACCACAGCATCATCAACACATGCAACAGCAACAACAGCATCACCATCACACTAGTTCAACAACAATACCACCCAATGTCACACAAATACCAGCTCCCGGCACAGCCATTGTAACAGCCGTATCCACTGGCTCCAGTGGCCGACAAAGGGAACAGGCCAACGCCGGTGGTGGCAAAGGCAAACAAACTAAAGTTGATGAGTCAAAAGTGTTTATTGACATTAGAAACTCAGCACCCGATGTTATAATCATGACATCCCATTGACAATTAAGGAAATTAAAACTAAAAATTCAAATGTATAAAATTTCTTATCAGCCCATTATTTTGTTGTGTATTATTATCATCCATCCCATACCATCGCCTTACTCATCGTCAACATTACTCATTGATTTTATCTTTATTGTTTGTTATTTGCATTAAATGCAGCCAGTGTAAGTTTGTTTTTAGTTTTAAAAAATGTCTAGACGTTTTCCTCATCTAATTTAATTACATTAATACATAGTTGATATTAAATATTCAGAAAAGGAAATACATTTTGTCATAATTAAATTGAAACTTTAAATTAAATTTTCTGTTTTGTTTTTTCCTTTTAATTCTTTTTATTTTAATTTATATGTATGTGTATGTTTGTACTATGACTATGACCACTTTTTCTTAAACAAATATTTATAAAATTGGGGTTACAATGCTGACTATATGATGCTGACACAGCACCATATAGTAGATAATCAGAAATGGGGTATTTTATATGACATGACTTGCTTAAGGCTGGAGGGAATAAATGACTGACTGACTGACTAGATGACTTGGTCAACATTGTAAATGTCTAACTAAACTTATTAAGGCTGATAGTTCACAATTTTGCTGAAATACATATAAAAGAGAGGTCGTCGCCGACTATACAGTGGCCTATAGCGAGTTGAATAACATAATAAATTCGATTCGAATATTAAAATGAAATGCTCATAACTATACAGATGTTTTTGAGGCAAATAGTATGTGTCTCGGTACAAACTATAATGAAATGGTGTAGAGTATAAAAACAATAATAACATCATGGTGTTTTAAAAAAATCCTCCAGGATTAAAATTTACAAAGCAATTATCGGCAACATGACCTTTGCTTACATTATGCCCATGCACAAGTCGTATTGAAAACAGTAGTGAAATTGAAAATTATTAAAAAAAAAAAAAATGCTTTAAGTGTTCATCAGAAAAATTTTTATATTCTGACTTTTGAGAAAACTTAACATTTCTTAAAAAAAATATTCTAAAACCACAAACAAATATTGTCTTCCTAAATCTCAAAAAATCACAATTATACCACCACAACTCAAAACAGCGTTTACCTTTCTGTCATACATTTAAACATATACATGTATACATGTATTTATATGTATGTATATACTAGCATCCCTTGTATGGGTCTACATTTTATTTGTTTGGTCATGTTTTGCTTCTGGTGATTCGGCAAAAAAACAAAAAACAAAACATCCGGAAAACGGAACATGTTCAAAAATGCCGTTATACATAAATGTCACCGACCACATGATACATGCTGCAACAACAAAAACAACATGGTAACACAACAGAAACAATATTTGCATCACGTGTCATATTTGTTGTTGTTGCATACATATACATATATATGTATGTATTTCTTCACTTGTTTTTAATTTTTTTTTGTACTATTGTTAAAATGAATTGTTTTCGTTGTTGTTTTGGTGGCAAATCTTTGTAACTGCATAGATATGAATTCGTTTTTCCTCATATTTTTTTGGGAAGGGGAATAATTGTTTAAAATTCATCAATTTTTTCCCAACTGTCCATTTTTGACGAAAAGATATCAAGAATTGAGGAGAAGTATTTGTGAATTGTATTCATAGGCACTTTCGAGACATGAGGGAAATATGGCAAACAGTGTTATGAGGTTAAACAAATTTAAAATTAAATCATCCAATATCCCAATTGACTGAAAATAACTCTTAACAAGATTTGTGAAAAAGTTAAAATTAAACAAAAAATTACTTTTTAAATAATTTTTTTTTTAAATATAAAGTGTCAGAATATAAACCGAACACTTTTAAAGATACATATTCTTTGTCATAGTAAAAATTGAGAATTTGTTTTCAGATGTACTTATAGAAAAATTTGCAACACTAAAATTTTTGAGAAATTTGTTAGTTTGAAGTGAGGATGTACATATGCTACCTAAGATCCGAAGAAATGTAGGAAACTATCGGACTTGTTGTGCGCTTCTTAACCCAAATCTCTGGTTGAAATTAAACCCATAGCCTCAGAAGTGACAGATTACTAAAACAATACAAAATTACTAAAATACGTAGACTCCCCCTTTCGAGTGATTACTTTTTAATATCGAATACCTCTGAAAAATATGCAACACAGGGTCGGTAAATGATGGTCCAATACGACCTTTAACAATACAATGATACGCCAATCCAACCATTAGATACAATTTGAAATTTATTTCGATATCGTCTAGACTAAATGCTAGTATATTGTATGGTCTATAGACTAGAATATTGTCTAGTCTTAATACTAATCTATTGTATATTCTTAAAATTAGACTAGTACAAAATGGATAATAGTTCATTTCCTAGTCTATAGACTAGTCTACTGTCTAGTCTACAAACCATTATATTGTCTAGTCTATAGACTGGTCAATTGTCTTGACTATAGACTACTCTACAAACTATTACATTGTCCTGTGTAAATACTAATATATTGTCTAGTCTATAGACTTATTAATAGTAGTAAATTGTCTAGACTTTAGACTAGTCTATAGACTAGTTATTTGTCTAGTCTACAGACTGATAAATTGTATAGACTAATCTATCGTGTAGTCTAAAGACTAGACAATATACTATTGTCTAGTCTTTATACTAATATATTCTCTAGTCTACAGGCTAGACTATTGTCTAGTCTAAAGACTAATCTATTGTCTATTCTAAAGACAAGTCTATTACATAATCTAGTCTAGTTTGTTATCTAGTCTAGAGTTTAGTCTTTTGTCTAGTCTATAAACTATTAAATTGTCTAATATATTATCTAGGCTATAGACTGGTAAATTGTCTAGACTATAAACTAGTTATTTGTCTAGTATATTCTATAGAATAGTTATTGGTCTAGTATATTATTTGTCTAATACATTCTCTAGTCTACAGGCTAATCTATTGTCTGGTCTAAAGACTAATCTATTGTCTATTCTAAAGTTTAGTCTAGTGCATAATCTACACTAGATTATCATCTAGTCTATCTAGTATAGACTAGTCTAGTATAGACTAGTATATTGTCTAGTCTTCAATTTATTATATATTTCTTTTGTCTATTGTCTAGTCTAAAGACTTATCTATTGTGTAGTCTAAATAATATTATATAGTCTAGTTTTTAGACTAATTTATTTTCTAGTCTACAGGCTAAACTATTGTCTAGTCGAAAGATTAATCTATTGCCTTTTCTAAAGACTAGTCTAGTACATAAGCTAAACTAGCTTGTTATCTAATCTATAGACTAGTCTATTATCTAGTCTATAGACTGATAAAATGTATAGTCTATTGTCTAGTCTATAGACTAATCTCTTGCCTAGTCTATATGTACACTAGTGATTTGGCGAAATTTACCACCACGAGGTGGCCAATGTTTTATAATTATTGAAAATATTTTTTTTGGCCATTTGAAATCAAAAACATCACGCACCAACCCCAATTTCTAATATAAACCAAAATTTTTTTAAATTTTTTATTTTTTTGAATTTTAAGATTAAAATATTTATATATGGGCCTTTTTACCTAGAAGTATATTTTTGTCACATCGCGACTCATCATTGCCTATATCTCCGAACTTTTTGATTTTTCGCAAATATACTATTTTACATCCCTAAATCAAAAAGTCCACAAAAAGTTATTTGTTGATTATATTTGTTTTGACTGGTTTTAAACAATTAAATACTTAAAAGCATATTTAAATTAATTATCTAAGATTTGGATTCCAAAGACATATGGAGCCTTCAAAAGACTGATTTTAAAAAACAGACGGACAGACATTTGGTGCGTGAACTTTCTTACCAAGTGCAAAAAAATAATAATGTAGTTTCTCATAGTTTTTAATACTCTATTCGACTATGATATGCCAACTAGCATATTTGTAAAGAATATCCCTAAAATACACTGAAAAAGGTAATGCGATTTTATAGAATTTTTGGTACTCAATACTTTGGTACTCAATACTTTGCCAGCACTAGTGTTTAAATAAGATTGATCTTTCAATATAGCATAATTTGAGGCGATCATTTTAAAATAAAATTTTTTTTTATACAGCATTGACGAAGAAAAAATAGCACTGATCAGCACTCTTTTATTATTAGCGTACAGTTTTTAAAGTTGGCTACTTTGCTACTACTATGATCAATAAGTTTTTATACATTTCACAAAAACTGGACATGTAGTTTAAGAGAGGCATATACAATTGGGTTGTTGTAGACCTTCGTTTGGAAATTGTTGATATAATTGAATAAACATCATGTAGTAGTTTGACGGTTTGGTAAGCTATGATATCAAAATCAAGCTATTTACTGTTGATAAACACTTAAGAATTTCTGAAGTCGCAAAAGGTCGTAATTGTATGATGTCTGAAGTTTATCCATTCGGTAGTGTACGAATCTTCTGTGGAACTTTAAGTAATGCTATATTTATTCGAAATATATTGAATATGTTACTTTAAAATCGTCAACACCTTAACACCATTTCATAATTTAACTTTGCTGGAAAACCCTTTATATAATATGCTTAAACATACATATGTACATATATGCATGTTTGTAAGTCTCTATGGATGTGCTTGTGTGTTTTTCTGAATTTATGGATTTTTCATGCTACAGAAATGAACCTCCAGAGCTAATGACATTGCCCAAGCCAATATACACATCATTTATTGTTATTTTCAGCGAATGGGTAACACCTTTTTGTATTCTTGTTGTCATTTCCAAACAGCATATCACTATATATACACATTCATATTGACAGACATAAATACATAGAGACGTGTGTTAAATTCATATCGTTTCGTACTGATATTGGATGGTGAATTCATAAAAAACAAAAAAAAAACCAACACAACTTCAACAAAAAAGTAGTTTTCTCTATTAACAGTACAAGTGTTATGAAAACACTTAGATACAAATACGTAAAAGTAACCAGCAAACATTTTCTACAGCGGAAGTCGATAGCGATCGGAATCATCTTGCGTATAACGTATGTATGTATGTAGTTTCTTCTAAAAGTGACTAAAACGTTAAGCAATATTTTTGTCTTCCAAATGTTTGAGGGGTATACTTACCGGAAACTGACAGACAACATCATGCGAATAGCCGTTTATGTTTTTTTTGCTAATTCTTCCATATACCAGCTACAGTTCCTTCTCTGTATTTTCTTGTCCTTCTTTGTGTTTAACAATCAAGTGCAGCAGATGTTTTCTTGTTTTTTATGACGCTGTTTTTGTCGTCGGTTGTCGTTGTTGTGGAACAATTTGATGCATGTCCTATACAGACACAAAGAGTACACACAACATGTCTTCATGCCTTCGATGCTGCACATCAATTCCATCATCAGCATCATTTTCATATATGTTGTTTGGTGTTTCCAACAACAACAAAAAGTAAAGCGACCAACAATAACATAGTTTACAAATCATTGTTCTGTTGATTCCGGTCATAAACACTCTGAACGTCGGATCTGATGAACTATTTGTGCATGCATTCTTTTTTTTTGGTAAATTCAATCATTATCATGGAGAATTCAAAAACTCAACGACTGCAGTAACCACGTTTGAATTATAATTGCTACAAATATTTACGTTTAATTTTTTGGGCGATTTAATACTTAAAATGTAAATGGCCACTAACTCATGGTT